GTGCTAGGAAACACATAACCCAGACTTCAGGAGTTGAATTATAATGAATTAACTCTGAATAGAACTTTTGGTAAGCTCTATACCATTCACCTATCTGGTAGATTTTTTGAGTTTGGGTGTTGGGTATTCGGGTTTTTTGGTGGGGTTTTTTTGTTTGGTTGGTTGGATGTTTTGGGTGGGTTGGTTTTTTTTTTCAGTTGGTTAGTTGGGGGAGGGGAGATTTTGCTGTTGGTTCAGGGGTTTTGTAGAGCATGGTGGTGTTGGGTTTTTTCTCTAAATCAGTCATATGTCTATTTATATTTTTTTTTCTCCTATTTTTGATAGAAAAAAACAGCATTATTTTTGCAGTTTTAAAATTGTTCAGCTGGCAAAAGTTTAACCTGATATCCAAGCAGCCAGTCCATGTCTATCCTTTAAACTGCACATCTCAATCCTACTGGCCCTTCTTACAAAGCAGTAGCTGCAGCGCCTCAAGCAAAGAAACAGCCTACAAAGACCAAAACCAACATAATGCTGCATAAAAGCAAAGCAATTAATGTCAAGGTGATGTGACTGAACTTCTCTAAGAATTTAAGTCACTATTACATGATTTAAAACTAAAGATAGCGCTGTATGAATCAGATACACCAGCTGAATGCTAATTGATCTAAATCACCCTGTTATATTAGTTTTGCACTGACATTTCCATAGTTGTAAGAAACTAACAAGAAACAGCACCAAATCTAGCTGGTAAGATAAAATACAAATCTCAACGCTTAAAAATAGGAATGCTCTACTGATTGAAAAAACCTGCTTTGAGAACACACAATGCTCTGAGAACTCCTAACACAGTGAAGAATTTGTTGAAAGGAGTAGGCAGACGCAGACTTCAGACTGCTCGAGACCATGGCAGCCAGTGCTTGCATAACAGAGAAGACTCCGTTAGACGACTTACATAAGAAAAATCTGAGATTGCCTTAAACAAGATTGTCTTCAGTAAGAAACCTTTACAGCAGAACTGATAAATAAAAGTTTCTTTTCAGTTAGAAACTGTTCCTACATTTGCAATAAAATAATATCAACTATTCAGGACCAATTCAAGAATTATCAAAGCTCTGAATATTAAAAAGTAGTGTCTCCAAAAGAAATCTGAGAAATCACAGACCATGCTGGATTTTTTAGAGAACCAGACACTGTTGTTGTGCAACAACAATTATTTTTAACATTAACCAAAGGCACAGCACCTGCCTTTTCTGCTTCCATTTTATTACTACTATTATTTTGCAGCAGCGTGGAACTGAAAACACATTATTATCATCATGGACACTATAATGTGAACAGTAGCATTCCCCAGAGTCTGTTCCTCCAAAATTCTAATTGTAGCAGCTGAAGTTAATATCTTCCTGCCACCTAACCCTTGCTTTGCATCTTATACTTAAAGCCTGGCTTTGCCAGTGGGCTACACTCTCGTGTTTACTACACCACTCACTAAGCATAATCAGAGTGTTTAAAAAAAAAATGTTCAAAGAAGTGTCAAGATTCAAATAAGGCAGATGTCTTTTGAAAATCTAAGGAAAAAAAAAACAATACATAAGCACCTAAGAGACAATTAAAATTTGAATCAATTTTTAGGCCCCAGCAGTGTTTGCTAACTAGGTGAAGAGTAATCATGTTTCTACAGCACCAAGCAGCTTCTTGTACGCTGACAAATCTGTATGACAACTGTAAAACCTTCATAAATTGGATATCTTAGGAATAATATTGTCCTATTGTCTTCTGTATGGCGTTTTGAACACTGAGTGGTCTTCCTTCACATTGAAAGCAAGTAGTACAACATTAAAATGTTACATTTTTAAGTGCTAATTTTGCTCAAAAGCTCATCATCATTTCTGAAATTATTTACTAAACTATTATTATTTTTTGAGATATTTACAGTGTCAGCATTCCATCTGAAGTCAATTTCAGGAAGTCATATATCCCATGTGCTCTTAGGAAGCATAACAACATCCTTGGATAAGAGGATCATAATGCAAAAAAATACTAAAACATTCAATTAAGATAAAGTAAGCAATTTAAAAAAAAATAGTTTCAAAAGGTAACTCAAGGGGACAGCAATGCTGGCTACTCATTTAGTGTTCAAGTACAGCAAGCCTTAAGAATTGTAATAACTAAGTCAATATTTACAGCTATAACCTGATAAAATTTTGCGTTACTGAGTATCTCACGTAACTTCATTTGTTCAATGAAATTTTAGTATGGGTCAAATATCTTTTAACACGTAAAACATTTGGGCATTAGAGATTGTCAATCATGCCTTGAAGGTAGTGCTCACTATATATATGAGCAAAATGAATCAAGTAACCTTTACATTAATTTTTCATTCAGGAAGCCTTTATTAAACTAAATGGCACTCCAAAGCAGTTGGTAATTGAGAAATCTATACTGCCTAGGTACATGATTATACACATTTTATATCTTCATGTGTTTAAGGTTGCTTAATTCACAATCAGAAACTGTGGGTTCCTCCAGTAATACCAGAAGTCGCGCTGCTTCTAAAAGTGGAATGTTGACTTTAAAAAGACATTGGCTCTGATCACCCAGAGCTCAGAGTAAATTCCAAATGGATTCTTGATGCCTGGCTAGTGGGGAGGGAGCGGGGAGGGGAAAGGCGCTTGCATTTAGAGCCCTACCGTGCTATCACTTCCTTAATATTATGACAACTTCTGCCGCTGACTTTGCATGTTGAAAACACCTGAAAATCTTGAAGTTTAGTATGTTTTTATTCACAGAAGTTTACTGAAGAAGTATACTTTATAACAATACAAAAAGATACATGCTGAAGTCATCTGTCATCCAGGCTCATTTGCCACAACCAACAGCAAGAAATAGCAAGCTTAAAAAGGACAGAGACACTTGCAATTCTAAATAAAAATAAAAAGCACCAGAGGTTCCTAAAACTACTGTAACCAGAAGGGAAAAACAAACAAACACACACAAACAATAGAGAATGTGACAGAGAAATAAAAATGCTCTAAATACCTGTCAAAACTGTGTTTTGTCTGTCCTCTTTCATTCAGTAATGAAATATCAGAACAAAAGCAAGAAACAAAACCACAATAGCTTGGAATGAATATACACTGTCCACTTTCAAAAACAGGAGCTCAGATTTGTTAGGGAAATAGAAAGGATGCCGATGAAAGGGTGAAATGAATAGTTCCCAATTACCTACAATTATAACAACCAATAGGAAGAAATCTTGCTACTTCAGAGGCAAAAAATACATTGCAGAAGGGATGACAGCAGTATCTGCTATGAGGAAGAGAAGAATGATTAAGGATCTCATGCTGATTCTTTCTGGATTTTAGCACTATTACAAAACACAGTATATTCCACGTTTTTCTACTAAGTGTTGGACTATCTGTCTTTGGTAGATTTAATTTTTAAAGCCATTTTAGTGCAAAAATGGATGTGTATGGAACAGTTCCCAAGTTAAATAAAGGTACCTATTTGTTATGGCCCAATAAAAAATTAAAGCCTTTTAATAATACTTGATTAGATACTAATCGAAACTGAAAGGTCCATCTGCTTTATAAAGAGTTCATACAGAAATGGGATAAGACTACATAGACTTTAAAGAATGTCAGCTAGAAGTATAATAAATACTGAATGTCCAGATTTTCAGATTAAAATAGAAGTTTGCCCAATATATTTAAGTGAAGCCATTCAAGTACCTTGAAAGGTAGTAAAAGACCGCAGATATTTTTGTTCTTAATAGCTCTGTATTTTAGCTCAGTGAAGTTCATGTTTTGCAGTCCTGGGTACACAACACTGAACAGACAGCTACTGCTAAGGAACTCACATGCCTTTAGTAACCATTAAGCCAGTTACTTTCATTTTACATGGATAGCATAAGCTTTTTATTTCAACCGCTACATCTACTGTCCATTACATAATTTCACACATATACAAGCCTTTCAAAATACTTTCAAAATAAGTGCTACAAGCTCAAGGGATAATTTCCCCCACAATCATACAAAAAAAAAAAAAGTGTTACTTAGAACAAAAAAATCACGCCTAAAAAAACCACTAGCAATTTAACATATGGGTTGAATGAGTGTCTTTGTAGTCAGTGAATGTCTCAATGTTTTTCCATTTCTATATTGCATTTTGAAGATCATATATTAAATGCCACAAAATCGTAGTCTTAAAATCTTTACTATATTCCTTAGTCTCTCACTGCGTTTTTAGCAACTGCTGTAAAAATAAATTGTCTACAACACAGAACTTTACTATATGTACATATTCAGAGTAGACACAGTCCTTGATATATACCTAATACTCAAATCCGCTTTCTCATTACCCTCTGCCCCAATTATGTAGACTTATATGATTTTCTCAAGTTTTTGCAATACTTCACTAGCTTATTACCCAGCTGTGCAGCTGAGCAAGAAGATAACCACATTCATTCCTCTTATCTGTAATGATGTAATACATCCCAGCACTGGGTTGAGATGATTGGGGGAATAATGGGATTGTAAAAACTGCAGAGATGACAAACAACAGTGCAGCCGCTTCCTCCTGATACAGTGAATTGCACACATACAGCACAGGGGGAAAATAACACAATATGCACTAATTCTGCTCCTTGAATGAAGTTAGCATTTTTCATAAGAAACAGCCGTTTCTGTACAGAAACACCATCATCATCACAATGCAGCAACCAGATTAAATACCCGCAATCTATGCTGAAGCCTAGACTTCAAGAAATAAAAGTGTTGGAGTTGTTTTTTTTTTTTTAATGATAACCAAAAAAATCAACCAAATGGAAAAATATCAGTGTAACCAAAGACTCTCCAGATAGTGCAGTGCAATGCAAAGAGTCATCAGGGACTAGTATGCAATACAAAAATAGATCTTGGACTAAAGCATGCACAGCACTGCTTTCCTATTCATTTAAAAATTAAATCTGCCTCCATTTTCTCTGTTAAAACCTTCCTTAGTACAACAGAAGAGACCCTTACCTTCTGCAGGAGCTGGGAACCTGAGTACTTGGCTGCAATAGATTTGATCTCTCCACCAAATGCTGAGGCCCAGAGCTTTACACTGTGAAGGGGGAGAAAAAAAAAAAAAAGAGACAGGAAGAAATGTAATACACATGTCATAGCAAGCAACACAGACTGTAACAGCTTCAGCTGCACTCAGAAGGATCCTAGCAATTTCGCATTAAAGAGCTCACTAAGGAACCTAAGCACAGCAAAAGATTAGCGAAGCTGTTCGAGTACAAGCACAAACTAGATGCTGTGCTAAGGTAAGGCCTCTAATATGAGGCTACCCAACCTGCACTGTTTAAATGTAAAGAATCAACTTGTACAGAAACATGCTTTGGCACAATGCAACATATATCTATTGAAAGGAAAGAACCAGATAAGATGGCAAAACAGTTCTGAATGATAAATTCTCACATGAGAAGGAATTAACAGCATCAACTTCAGTAAACACAAGCACTTAAGACTCTGCGGTCACATACTCCACCAACACATGCTCCTACAATAAAATCGAAGTAGTGCTGAGCGTGTTAGAGACCACCACTTTAAACACAGCTGACAGAGGAGCAAAGGTGCCTTGAACAGCCAGACATAACAGATAAAAATAAGAACTTCAGCAGCCAGGTTCTCATTCTTGAACATGGTCCTGAGAGCAATAGCATGAAAGCACTTACACAGACAAGGGGATCTGCTGCTCCGATCCAACCACATCCACTAAGGCTGTGTTAAAAGCTGTCCAGAAGATAAAGAAAAAGCCCCCAAAAGCCTGAAGAAGATTCGGCATTGTGCCTCTTTGTGCCTGGAAAGATTTGGGGAAATTCAAGTAAAGCTGAATTCAGCAGCAGAGGGGGTTTGCTTCTGAAGCCTCTTTCCCCACCTTTTCCCTCTCTACTAGAACAACACTGGAAGTCACAGCTCCATCCTCATCCCTCCAAGGAATGACCCTCTCTGTACAATAGAAGGAGAGGACCAGAAGCGAAGCTCTAATAACTTGAAAACTATTGTGTCCCTGGTAACAGCAAAGCGTTTTCCAGCACCACTGCAGCCACTTGCATGTAGTTCTTTACAACTCCGCAGTCAGCAGTGTGCTAGAGTTACTTCAGTGACCTACTGCTGCTCCGAAGTGCCCTTAGCAGCAAGAAAGCAGGCTATTGATTCCAACTGGGGAGGCTGTCTTCTTGCAATTACTGCTCACTTTGCAAATGGAAAGCTGCCTAGAGTTCTTTCTCTCGCCGGTAACCTCCAGCCTTCATCCCAGATCAAGTCAGCCAAGGCACTGGTTCAGCGAGCAGGAGCAGCCGGCTTTTAACGGGATAGCGCCGAGACAGAGAGGCAGGCACAGGAGGAGCTGGACCAGAGGGAGGGTGCCTCTGGATGGCAAAAGCAGAGAAAGTCTCGGGGAGCTGAAAGTGTAGTTGAGCCCTTCCAGGAAGGCGAGAAGAGAGCGCTGCACATTGCCGGGGGCTGAGCTAGGGAGGGCT